GGGGGGGGGGGGGGGGAGTTATAATGTGATGGTCAATCTTACTAGTTGTTGGTAAAAAAAAAGTAGCCCAAGAGTTGGCGGTGGTGGTGTTGACTAGCTGCCTTCCTTCTTGTCTATCACTGCTAAATTAGGGACGGTTAACGCAGATAGCCTTCGTGTAGCTTTGCCGAAATTCAAAACAAACTAAACCTAAACACCCTGAGAAAGCGTTCTTTAACGTCTAAAACTACTTGGTGATGCATATATATATATATATATCTGTTTTAATCGTGTCTTACCGGTACAGAAACACACACACATATATATATATATATCTGTTTTAATCGTGTCTTACCGGTACAGAAACACACATATATATATGTGTGTGTACCGGTAAAACACGATTAAAACAGTATAAAAATACGCCATATATCTTCGAGCATAATAAGTGTAAAAATGTGGTGTATATAGGAAAGTGTAGCTATGGGACGACAGTCTTGTAAAAACATAACACGTATATTAGAAATAACGAAGACGTGTGACGTATTTCTGGGATAAATGCCCCATTTATCAACTGTGTTGTTCACCAGATTGAACAGGAGGTACTTACTTTTTTTTTTACATATAACGTTTCATAAGATGTTCTATTATTCGAGTTTTATATCAGATATCAAAGTAAAAACCAGTATCAAATGCAACACGATTTTCTACGTCAGGTTTCGTAAAATTTAACGTCTGTCATGATCAGCTACACGCGTCTTGAATCAAATTCGAAATAACGATTTAATTACACTTAATTGTGAGATTCAAAATTATACAAATTAGGTATAACCAACTCTATATTTTTACCACTGTTTCGCTGTAGTTATTGTAAAACTTAAAACGTTACTGGTTTTTATAAACTAATAAACGTTTAATCACCATATTGTTTAATTGTACTGAACCAAGTTGTGTTGAAAGATAAGGTGAACACTTAAAGCGAAGTAACAGTTGTTAAGCACAAAGCTACACAATGGGCTATCTGTGCTCTGCTCACCACGGGTATCGAAACCCGGTTTCTAGCATTACAAGTCCGCAAATACGCCGCTGTGCCACTGGGGGGAGGAGGAGGAGGCGAAGTAATAGCCGCATTCCATTTTTCTAATTTTCTGTTACGTCAGGCGAGTTGAACTGTTGTGTGTGTAATCGTTTTATATTAGACCAAGCGAGTAGATAATGTTGAATTGATATTCTGTACGCTGCTTTATAGCGTTCAACTCGCCTGACATGATAGTTGGTTCTGCTATTTTGAACAAGAACATAACTGGATGTAACATATCAGGAGATGGATTATTTACGTCCAGATTGTGAGATTACCTTAAACACATGTTTAACTAATAATCCTTCCTTTTTTCTCTCTCCTATAAGTATGATTCGTGAAAGTAGTATTTCTTCAAACAAACAAACAAAAACAATTATGACAACTCGCCATTGGAATGATTAATAATTAAATCACTTAAAAAAAAAAAAAGATGGTGCATACGTTAAAACCGTGATCAAGAGTCTGGGTTATCTTTGAAACTGTCCAAACACATTCGTTGTAATTTATATCTGTGATGGTAGTGGTGACACGAATCAAACGAAGAAATAGGTATTTATTAGGGAAACTACTGGCCTCAAATGCTTTTATTGACGGTTCAAGGTGGACCACTCCTTCTGGATAAAATCAAGTTACGAGACGTGCGGAAACTAATTTTTCAGGCGCCCGTTGGACGAGCTTCCTCTCGTAGATCGCAACACGCTTGTTGGCAGCGCCCAGTCGGCGCACATAACTCGTTCCTAGTCATGCTCCCTGGTCATGAATAATAGAGTTCTTTGTGGCCAAAAGGTTTTGCTGCCACAAAGACAAAAATAATTTCTGACAAAGAAGTTAGTGAATAAGGATAGTGCGAATGTCTACAAGAGAAGGTTAGCCAGATGAAACTGACGGCTGTCGCCGGCTGTTGGGGCGTGAGCAGGCACTCTCTCTCTTTCTCATTGCATATTCATGCCAAGAAATTCAGAAGAGTCACTGTAAGAGAACGGCAAACTCGCTTTCTTGATAAGCAGACTGACTGGTCATTATGCAAGTCGTGTTAAGAATACACGGAGTATTAGCACGAGCGATATGGAGATCCCACACTAAAGTGAACAAACCACAGGACAACGTGTTCACGGCGGTTTATCACCATGATTCATGTTCTTCACTCTCCAGGAAACTGAAACGAAACAAATGACATCGCTGGAGGTCGCTGCTGCCTTTTTCTCATTCTAATCCATCATTTGCCTTCTCGGTCTACTCGATAATTGAAATATTCAAACATGGGCGGGAACTTTCGACACGACCCTATGGTCCACGCTCCGGTTGAACCAGTTAAGTTTTCCAGAAACAAAATGAACTGTGGAGACGGCTCACTTACATTGTATGATAAACGTTTGAAAGAATTGGGGATCCTCTACAAATTTCAAGTTTATTTTTTATCGAATGGAAACGACTCTTTTTTTTTTCTTCTTCTCAGCTCCTTCCTCTTAAGAAGTTCAAAGTTCAGAACTGAACAAAGAAGCTCTTAGTTGCGGCCTCATACTATAATTATGTAAGAACAAACGTTTTAACTATGGTCTGACGTCACAGTAGTGAAATTTTACAAAGAATATGTGATAAAAACGGATCTTTTTCCTACAGATATCCTAAAACCCTTAATACTTTACTCTTGGTATAAGTAATGGTTGACAACCTAGTTGATTCAACAACTACCTAGGCCTAGTTGAAATGTCTAAGCTTTGAAATAGAAATTGCAATTTGTCAAATGATTTGAATATTGTTTAGGTAGTTGGTAGTCCCTGTAATAGAATTCTGGATTTCGAATCTAGAGCCCGGGTTCGAATCCGTGCGATAACATAAAATATACCTCCTCACAAACTAAGCTGTGGGTGCGTTATAAGAGTGACAGTCAATCCATTAGCATGGAGGTAGAGTGTTGTTGAGTGGTAGCCTTCCCTTTGGTCAGTTGCTCAAAATTAGGGACAATGACAGATAGCCTTAGGAACTTTGTTATAAATACAAGTACTGTTCAAATGCCACAAATCCTTACAAAAATCATTGATTCCGTGATACAAATGTATGATTTATTTAGACACATACAAAACATATATATTTACAGTGAGTGTTTTAATAGGGAAAAACTATACAATATGTGAAACTCTCCGATAGTGAAAGGTATAATAATAATTCGGTAATTTGACGCTTAATTTTGGACAAAACACTGATTTAACATCAGCAAAAGAACATGAGAATACACGCTGCAACAACACGTGTTTAACACGCAAGCTTCAGAGTTCGGTTAGTTAGGCTTAGTTAAGCATCATAGTTAAGGTTACACCCTAACGTTTCAAATTCCGCGAAATAATATTATATATTAACGACGTATTATCTACGATGCGTTTTGTTGAACGTACCGTATTTTTCGGAATATAAGACGCACCCTTATTTTG